ACAGATCATGTTTAATGTGACTTCAACAATATATTCTTTTAGAGAATTCCAAGACGATTTGTTTTTGAGCAAATGATACCTTTTAACTTGCTTTAATTGTGGCTCAAAATATTGGTGATATCATCTGTACTCATGAAATTTCGAAGGTGAGACGAATTTGGAAGATTGTCTAAGGATACACTGTATAATTATATAATCACGGTTAATAATATGTATTCAAAAAAAAAAATTGAAAGAATATAATAAAGTAATATTTACCTATAACTATCTAAGAAATCAAGTGCAATTTGGGTACATCTATCATACAATCGTATCCTCCATGTTGAGAACCATCCGCAACCTTTCTTCTTCACATCACTAGCATTAATATCAACAATTCTGAGATGTCTTGCACATTCCCTAACTAGTGCTAAGATCAGTTCTGGTATTGGCTTACGAATACGGAGAAAAAGAACCTTTGATTCATTAATGAATAAGGATGCAAGTCGAGTTTTAAAGAATATATAATTGGAGAAATATTTTATTAATTGTAATGTTATTTTCATATTTAGCAAGTAAAATACCTTAATATTTGAAACACTCACATTATTCGGAGATGTGTTATTATAGATTTGATTAGTAGGTGCATTATTATTTATTATAGCTGAAGTAGTCGTATTGTCAGAAGCCATAATAGATTGCGGATGCATATATGATGTATATCCCATATTTAGTAAAAGTGTGCCTAATTTCATCGCTTGAACAAATGCAGTAAACATTAGTGCTAAATTATTAAAATCAATGCAATCGATAGATGTTGTAGATGCCATATTTTGTTCATCCGTAGAAGAGACCGATCGTGATGCAGTGTGTGCCATGCATGCTATATTTTATTCATCCGTAGAAAAGACCGATCGTGGTGCAGTGTGTACCATAGATGCCGTGTTTTGTTCATCCGTAGAAGAGACCGATCGTGTTGTAATATTATTGGTGTTATCAATCGATTCTAATTCATAAACATTGGTGAATAATGGCTTTACTTGAGATATAGAGGTTTTACGTAAAGGTAATTCCTGGTCATGTTCTTTAGTGGATTCTATAA